TGTGTGTGTGTATATATGTACAGAATATTTTCTATTCCTGATGATGTCGTGGATCGGCGAAAGCTTGGAAACGTGCAATTACAAAACTGAGCTCAGGGCCTCATTCAGTTGAAACCTTTACATAATCACGTAATTTGTTGTCTTACGCAGTCACTTGAAAACATCCCTTGGTAAGTTCAAACTCGTTTTGAGTTAGGGGCACAAAATCAAGAGTGGTTCTTTAAGACTGTATATTTTTGTGTCCGAATAAATATTTTAAAACCCTTAAACCCTCTACTCAAAAGGATATTAGCGTGGTCGTGTAAAATTTTATTAAGGTAAAGGTTTTCTTGTTGTTGTAGCTGCTGTACTTATATTACCAATGCTGTTACAGCCGTATAGCTATACCTCACAATAATGACATTTCAATTCTCTATAGGTAAGGGGCTCTTGGCTTTTATAGAGGTGTGGCTTCATGAAAAAAACGTGTCAGACGTCAGATATGTTTAGTAAACTGAGACACTGCGTGGCCTATTTCACATCGAAAATGCTGAGAAGAAAGTTTCGAACTGTTGCTTTGGTATTGACTGCCTTGTTAACAACTTACGTGTGTGCTTTTCTACTGAGCAACCCTTCCAATGCTCCAACTTCGCTTCCTAGTCGGTCTAGACCAAGAGACGATTGCAAAACTTGGAAAGAATCTCCACAGCACAAAACGACCTTGAAAACAAAGACATCATGTGCAAGGAACTATTTCCTTCTCGTCTTGGTCTCATCTGCACCTGCAAATCAAGATAGAAGAAATCTAATTCGTCAAACCTGGGGTACTGATGACAACGTGCCACCAATGTGGAAGACATACTTCCTTATTGCACAAACAGAGAATCAAACACATTCAGGTTTGGTCAAAAAAGAGGACGAAGCCTACGGAGACTTAATTCGCGCGGACTATTACGAGAATTACTGGAAACAGAGTTTTAAGATAATGATGGCCTTTGAGTGGGCATCGAGATATTGTAAGTTTTCTTATATTATGAAAGCAGACGACGACATCCTAGTTAATACGGCTGATTTGATTAAATTTTTATTAAAGAAATCAACTCCAGAAAAGAACCTTTTCCTGGGACGACTTCACCATAATCCAGCTGTACGTCGAGAAGGTAAATGGAAAGTCAGTTACGAAGAGTACAACCATACTCATTATCCAGATTTCTGTAGTGGGGCTGGCTTTGTAATGACTTATGACGTTATCGAGTGCATTGTTCCCCTGTTTGATGTGATTAAGCCTTATAGGATGGACGATGTTTATGTCGGTATGCTTGCTCATGCCATTGGTGTGATTGCAGTGGATCATAGAGGGTTCTTTATGCCGTTTGATGGTTATGACGACTGTAATTTTGTCCCAAACGTTCTTGCACAGCACCGAGCGACTGGACAGTGTTTAACCAAATTGCTTAATATACATAAGAACCGTAAAGATTTCCTCTTTAGTAGAAAGCTTGGAACTTTCTTTTAATTTGATATTTCACACTTGACTTAACTTTGTTTACCTCCATATCTGAATGATATTGGCGTGGTCTAGTGAAAATTTTACCACAATTGGAAGTTATGTCGCAACCTGATTGGCCAATAGGCCATTATCGATAAGAGTACAGACAACGCTACTTGCGTCAACGTGTCACGCAATGACCACGTACTGAATGAATCGTTTCAATTTAGGTCGATATTGTGGTAAAAAAAAACAAAACAAAACAAAACAAAAACGAGTGGTTTGGCGAGGTTTGTACTTTTATCCACAACGATATTCGGCATCTCAGTGGTCATAAAATGTTGCTGACTCATCAGGTTTGCGCCTCGTGAGTCCACAACATTTTGACCACTTCCAAGACAACTTTAATTAAAACTGGTAAACAGACTCGGGAATAAATTAATACTCTGAGGAGAGAGGGGCCAGAGATAAAATAAATCAGGATCTGCTTAAAATACGGAACTGGTGCTTTAATAACCAGCTACTTTTGAACCTAGACAAGACGAAACTAATGATCTTTGGAAGCAGACAAAACATTGAAAAAGTGAATGATAATTTTAATCTGTCCCTTTTCGGGAAAGATCTTGTACCTGCAACAATCGCTAAAGACCTCGGTGTAATTATGGATCCAAACTTAACTTTCGGAAATCATATTCTAGAAACAGTTTCTTCGTGCATACCACGTTTAGCTCAGATAAATAGAGTTAAGCGGTACTCTTTTGACAAACAGTCCTTAATTATTATTATAAACTCACTTTTTTCAGTAAATTATTTTATTGCTCATAAGTTTGGAGTAATACTTCTCAAACAAATTTAAAAATGTTACAGACAGTCCAGAATTTTGCTTGCCGCATAGTAAGTGGAAGAAGGAAATACGATCACGTGTCTCCAACTTTAAAGGAACTACGCTGGCTGCCAGTGAAGGAGCATCTCTACTACCGTGATGCCGTAATGTCATTTAAGTATCTAACTGGTTGTGCTCCTGGATATTTATCTACACAATTCATTAGACGATGTTATGTCCCAAATCGTAGAACGCGAAGTTGTCAAATGCTTAACATACCTCGCTTTAGATCAGCAAGTGGCCAAAGGACTTTTTTCTATAGAGCAGCTACTTTATGGAATTCCTTATCTATCGATCTTAAACTTAGTGAATCGGTTAATGTGTTTAAGCGCCGCCTCAGGTCTCGCCTCTTAAGTAACCTTAGCACTTCCGCTATTTAAGTCATTGCTCTATTTTAAGTCTGATATACAATTTTTAGCTTAATTGTATAATTAATTTTTACCTTAATTGTATTGCCTCTGAAAATCCTCTTTCGGGAAGTGGTAATAAAGTATGTATGTAAGTACCAGCCAAATCTGCATATAAAAGGGCATTATAGTGTTTTGAAGTATATACTAGTATCTTATGATGGTGCCACAATGGCTTTGAGTGAGTTGCTCTAAATTGAATCATAGGCATGCTGCGCATGCAAGAGTTTTTTTTGGATGGGGGGGTAGAAAAGGGACATTCAGTGGCTGATTTTTCATTTTTGTAAAAGGACAAGAGCATTTACCTTCAAAAGATTCCAACGAAAATAAAGTTCAGTAGAGAGCAAAACGAAAGACTACCAATTTATCTGGAATAAACTCAGACGCACGTATTTTATACGTTATGGTCAATTGCCGTTAGTCTGAATAATTGTTAGCAAAAAAACTGCATTGGTGCTACGCTTCCCGCTTCTACTGCCCGCTTAATACATACCGATTGATTTTTTTACTAGGAAGTTATGATATCTATTATTCTCTATTATCGTGTATAAATAGAGTTCCTCTATTCATCTATTTATCTGTATTCTCCTTCATCCCTTGTTTGGTCTCGTCACGTAACACGCCCTCTCCCACCATTACTTGACGAGACGAAAGACCGACTTGCTCGCAAATTCCAAAGCAGCTCTGAGATTTACTAGTTACCAATAACAGTAGAATATCTTTTCATAACGTGACACAATGTAATGTCATAGATTGTTGGCTATCTGCATGGAAATCGACTCCTTAGTTTTAACAAAACACCTTCAAGGCCTCTCGCGTTGGTCGTGTCTATTTTCTGCCGGTTTTGCTTTCCTCTCCTCTTTTATTTCTACGAGAAAAAAATTGTAACATTCATATTTTCTGATTTGTTGGTTCCATCGAGTGATGTTAGTTTTCGACTTTGCCCTTAAAGGAAATTCTTTTTTCGGAATAAAACATGCGGTCACAAAACGTAAGACTCTGTTTAATTAACAATACATGGTTGTATTTCCTTTGTTAACCAATATTTGAGGTTGAGTTCACTCGTTGGTAGTTATCTTAGGGTTCTTCAACGCGTTTAGAGACCTGACAAACAGTTAGAGGCTGTTAATAGTGACCTGACAAACAGAGGCTGTCAACTCCCTCAAACGGCTTGAACGATTCTGTTTAGTTTGCATTGCGTTGACGTGTTAATTTTGGAGACCTAGTTCTAGTGTGGCTCACTAGCATAAAGGATAAAATCAAAAAGGCACTTCAAATCAAGTAGTTTTTTTTTAAAAGATTTTATTCAAGGAAATGTCTTAAAAACTCCTTAGTCACACAGACTTCCCCATTAGTGAAGCTATCAATAACATGTTTTAAAGCTGTCAGTGTGACTCTGGGTAAAATTCATCAGTTTTGGGCATAACTCCTGTTTCACGATTACGATTAACGTAAGAGCGCCATGTCTTCATTATTTTACAATCCTAAGCTTTGAGTTGAATACAAAATAATCAAACTTATTTTACAGACAGAATTCATATTGTGTATTTTCCCCAAGAGGAAAACGGTGAGCAAAGATGAACAGTGAATAACTTTTGATTGGATTTTAAATGCTTCGGGACTCAATATCATTCAAACCTAATTTTCTTTTTTTTTTTCCAGTGAGATGTTACTTTTATTTCCTGACAAAGAAGTTGTTTTGATCTTGAATTCGAGGCATTTGCTGTTTCAACTTTACATAAGGATGAAATTTTAACTGGTTAGCTCTTTACTGAAAAGGAAACCACTGATTGGGTTTGAAGAGCGCAAAAGGAATCTGAAACACAAACTTCTTTCTTTTCTTGTACAGAAACGTCGTCCTTTCTTGCAACTAAAGAGCATAACTGTTTTTTTAACGTCACCATATTGTCCTACTCACTCAGTTTTTCAACCCTTGAGTCACTTACCTTGTCTACTTAAAACTTGAGCATGGTGTCCACAAGTGACTATCCCGCTCTTTGAATAGTTTCATACTTATTCGAGGTCTCATTAGGGATGATTTTTCAAGAATTCATACGGATAATGCTGATCTTTTAATTTTAAACGATTACCCAAGACTAACTGATCCATAAGACGATGATCGACTCAGCTAGTCCCTTTATCCCAGAGGCCAACTTTTACCATATCTTTTGAAGAAAGACGACAATAAGCTATTTACAAAATACTTTATATCTACATCTGTAAGGTACAGGCCCAGATTCGAAGGAAACCATTTACACGACCCTAGCATGATATGGATGCTTCCACAGGTCTTTTAAAAGTTTCTCCCTTTCAGACTTTTCTCTCCGTTTTCTTAGAACGTCTTCCAGACGAGTTCCTCTCTTTCTTCTTTTTCCCAAGTCGAGCAACACGTCTGTGGTATGTACCTCATCCGGAATACACTCGTAACAGAGCTTTAAATACTTGAACGTATTCTTACACGTTGGATCATCAAAGAAAGTGTTTGAAGCCACAATTTCACACGCCTGGTTATTCCTACACTGACTTTCAACTTTCTTAAATGTGTTATCTGCATCTGTCTCGCAAATCTTGTCCGTAACAAGACCAACTGGAGCCTTTGGACAGAACTCGTTTTCCTCTCGTCCCCAAAACGCACGGTTTATTTTGATAGTCTCGTACTGCTTACACTGAAGCCAAGTCTTCTCTCCCTCGCAGATGTAAGAACAGTTCTGAGAACACATTAATAAAATGACATAAAAATAAATAACATGAACATATATTATTAGGATGACGTCTGAAGCTAAACTACGGTTTTTATAAAATATTGTTTCTCCTTAGTGCTTATTGAAATAAACAGAGCTAGTAAACTACTATCGCTAGGGGTTGCAAGATAAGCTCAGATCTACTACTAACCGGCATTACAGCCTCTGGACCAGCAGGGCCAACGTTTCCTAAGGGTCCTGGAATTCCAGGTGCACCAGGCTCCCCAGCTAATCCCATGAGACCTGGTGGTCCTTTCTCTCCTTTGAAACCGGGCATCCCTGGGAGTCCTGGGGGACCTATTGGGCCGGACTCACCATCAGCACCGGGGGAGCCTAGGTCACCAATTGGACCTGGGGGACCCATGGCTCCTGTCATACCCCTCATTCCGGTTGCTCCAGGAGGGCCAACAGGACCTTGTTTACCAGGGCGACCAGAAAGGCCTCCGTAGAATAATGTGAGATTTTGTTCTAAGATCTGACTGATCATAAATCGATCCAGCAGTTGTTGATCAACTGTGTCTCCTGGCTTAGGAAGATCAAATTCCACCTGGAAATGAAGAAACAAACTTAGATGAGTATCTCTTATCTACTTCTTCTGTTGTCAAGGTCCTCGGAAACAATAGCATAGAGCAAACAACGTTTGGAAAAGATTTGAATGATGTACTTCTGATAGAAACTCTCATTGCATTGATCGATCAAGAGCTTAGTTGATCCCTCAGTGTGAGGTGAAATCACAACGGAATAAAGTAAGAGCCGTTCGCTCTAAGAAAGTAAGCATCCAGAAAGCAGAAGTTTTAAATAAATTTTTTATCTTTCTCAAGCTCTCGCTGTATATTTATGATGAATCTTGACTTAACTGTACATTGAGGTATAAAAGCACAATAAACCAAAGTCAAAATAGAGATGTTATTCGAAAGCCAAACTTCAACAGTTCATTGTCACGAAAATTACTCAAAACTAGACCAAAGAGCTTTAGTGATATCACCGTGACTGTAACTATGCTATCATTTGGTAACTTTTTAAGAGCTATTGGCTGCACAATGCCTCACGCACTTGTACACCCGTCGGATGATATATCTCCCTCTAGATTATGTGATATTTGTTAGCCTAGCTGAATGAGACACTTCTCAGTGGCTACACACGTCATGGAGCCGCCCGATCGGAATATACTACAGGCATCGAACTGGATTTATATGATATCTGTCCCCTGAGACAAACCCTTACCTGTTCTTTTTCGTCCGAGAGGGCTATCTCATCATCTCCACTTATAGGAATTTGGTGTCTGTTCTTTCCTTGCTTTTGATGCTTAAAGGATGATCCTTCGTCACTCGAGGCCACACTTTTATTAGAACTCTTTGCGTTTTCTTTCTCAGCAGAGCCAAATGTATTACCAAACAGGTCTACAATCGCATCTGAGGGGGTGGTTGCAGGGGTCAGCTCTAACGTACCGCTGCCACCTGAGCCCGATAAGAAGTCTGAGGCGGATCCGTAATCTATCCCTCCACCAGATCCTAAGCCATATGTACTTCCTGATCCGACACCCAAATTAATAGGTATCTTTCCTAGGGCTGCTTGAACATCCGCTTGAAGTCCGGCTGAGTCTAGGTTAAAAGATACGGGTTTCACCTTATCAGTGTGAGAGCGTAGGGCTGTTTCTTCCACCCCTTCGTCGTTAGTAGAGTGCGCACCGGACCCTTCACCTGCTCCGGATTCAACTACGTTAATTTCATCTGAACCTGAAGCAGATGTTTCAACCTCCGTGTTAAGCAAATCCTCCTGAGGGATTTCCCCAATCGGGATAAATCCTGACCCAGAGGTATCAAACACCGCAGATCCAGAAGAGGAAAATGACTCCTCGACACCAACGCTACCCGGAAGTGCGCTTGCGCTAGAATCTGATTGGCCAGATGAGGAAGAGCCTGATGCCAATGCAGCCAAAGTGGTGGACGAGATACCTGTCCCAACTCTCTTTGGCGTTGGTGAGTAGTTGTGCTTAGCGACTGGCAACGGAGAGCTGCCAGAACCGGAGCTTGATCCACTATCTTGCTCAGCACTAGCAGATGCCGAGGCTAAGGCTGAGGCTGTAGGGGCATAGTCTTTTTTCGAAAGGGCTTGCAACTCCTCTGAGCTAGACGAAAATTTACCACTTCCACTGCTACTACCCCCTGATACTTCAGATATCACGTCCGAGTTTGCAAGTCCTGATCCTGATCCAGATCCCGAAATGCCTTCATCCATAAAGGAGCCAAAGGAGCCGGAGCTTAAGGTAACGCCAGAAGCGTCCTCTCCTCCAGAACCAGCCAGTGATTGAATGTCAACACTGTCACCATTACCAAATCCACCAGGTAATGGCTCTTCTGCAACTCCAGAACCCCTAGAGGGTTGAAGGGATTGAAGAAGTCCAAATTCTCCACTACTCTCATCATTCTTCCCAACGCTGTTTTCCTCAGTCTTTACAATGATAGTCGAATTTGCCGATTGCGTTACGTTATTTCCATCTCCGAGAGCTGGTGATGGTTTGGTAGTTTTGACTGTATCGATCATATTCTCATTGCGAGTCTCGTTGTTATCTAGTTGCTCCAATCCTGAGCCAGAACTATAACCAAACTTAATTGCCCTCATCAAGTTAACCTCCTCTTGCAACCCTGACCCAACTCCAGAACCAGAACCAGACTGGTCTGCCATCCCAGAACCTGGCTTATTTTCTGGAGATGCCATAGTCATAAGATTAGGACCGACAGCTCCAACACTTCCTGGAAGAGTCTGGTCCTCTGAAGATGATGCCAAAGATTCAAGGTCCTCGCCAATTCCAGAGCCACTTATCTTCTCATCGTTTCCTGATCCAGAACTGAGGGAGTCTTGAGGAAGGGACAGAACAGGTTCCCAAGGGTGAAGCTTTGGAGTTTCGCCTGATCCCGTTCCAAAATCAGGACTAACGATTGCAAGAGGTTCGGTTCCTGATCCTGATGCACTTCCCGTTTCATCCAAGATAATCTGTCCACCCACACTTCCCGGAAGACTCTCATCCTGCTTTTCTGACTCACCAGAACCTGAAGATTCACTTTGCAAAACCTGTTGCAAAAGTGATTCATCTTGTTTATATTGAGATGTTGTCCCAAGATCACCTGAGCCTGAGGCAGCGGAGTTTGTGTCTGAAGGGGTGGCTGATTCAACTTGACCAATGTCAGAAATACCGCCAACACTTCCTGGCAGTTCCTCTTCCCCTGATCCCGAGGATGAAATAGAAGCCTTTGGTGATGTTTGGTCCAGCATAGGTTTTTTAGCAGATCTTTGACCTACGGCTACAACAGGTAAACCGGAGCCGGAAGCAGGGACAGTCTCGTGAGTGCTCGGAGGCACACCGGATGCTGACGTAAAAGCAAAACCAGGCGCAGTCGCAGCCTGGACAGGCTTCTTCTCTAACTTTTCAATGTCGTTCACTTCACCAATGCTGCCTGGCAAATTATCTTCAGGCTCGTCATCTTCACCGGAGCTCTCTGAAGAATCATCCTCGCTATCAGAGTCACCCACTCCTGAAAGAAAATCAACACCAGATCCACTAGCCACATCAACAATGGTATCTCTTCTCTCTGATTCGTCAGCACTTGACTCCCCAGAATCGTCTTCATCGTCAAAATCTTCATCGTCGCCAGAGGCTGATCCCGAACCATCAGCTGAAACGTCATCGTCATCGTCATCTTCTGAGGAGTTCTCTTCGAGTCTTCGGCTCGTCTCTGATCTCTGTTGAGCTTCTTCATTTTGATCCTCATCAGATTTAGAAGATGCCGTTTCATCTTCATTTTGATCCTCATCAGATTTAGAAGATGCCGTTTCATCTTGCTTTTGATCCTCATCAGATTTAGAAGATGCTGTTTCATCTTCTTGTTCCCCGCTAGCACTTGAATCTGATTGCTCCCCACTTGCATCTCCATTCTCATCGTTATTATCATCGTCATCGTCATCGTCATCTTCATTGTTTCCAACACTGCCTGGTAGGTTAGCTCTCGTTAGTGCCTGAGACGGAGTAGTTTGTTGCCTCTTTGCTTTCTTAAGACCAGCAATGAAGGCAAGCTCATCAGCATTTAACCCACTTCCACTTGTCTCCCCTGAACCAGATGCTGTGTGATCCTGTTTGATAACGGCAGTTGGTTCCAAGCGAGCTGTTTCTTCCACTCCGCTAGATTCAGGTACATCTTTATTGGTAATAGCCGTTTGTTGACCTTCCCCTTTAGAAATTTTCGCAGCAGGTGACTCTTTGACAATAATGTTCGTTTGATTTAAAGAGCTCATGTTCGCGACTGACCGCAGCTGAGCTGATCCAGCCTCTTCAGGCTCCACAGCATTAAATGATGCGGCACCATCAACGGCGTTGGAAGGCTTACTCTCGCCGTTGTGCGATGTGGCGACCGGAGGGGGCTGTGCTGCTACAGCGCCAGCCAAAGTAGATGGAGCTACCGAGCTACCTTCCTCATCCGACGTGAGTGTAGCTGGCGTCACCAATACTGGTTTTTCTTGTTCAGCACTCTCATGCTGTAGAATCCCTGATCCTTCTCCAGAACCAGAAGCATCCTCTCCTCCTATTTCGCTTTTCTTTGTTTTGGATGATGCAGCATGTCCGCTGTCCCATTCACCTTCTCCAGAGGGAGGAGTAGCTCCGCTGTCAGAAAATGATCTGTGGCTGAAGATGGAATTATTTTCTTGGGGTGCTGGGAGATCTGGAAGTTCTGAAAGAGATGAAATTCCGCTAGCAGGCTCCACTCTTCGCCTAAATCTCTCTATTCCCTCTCCTTTGGGTCTTATAGCTACTACCTCCTCGCTAGGAACTGGTGCAAGGCTTTCTAAGACCTCCATCAGGTTGATGTCTGAATCCTTTTGAAGCTTTACATTGTCAGGAACATCGCTAAGCTGTTGAATTTGATAAAATTAAATGTTCCAAACAACAAATCAGAACCTCACACTCTTAAGTGGACTTATGAACTCACACTGCTTAAACGAGCTTTCTGTTTTATCACTGAGATAACACTTTGAGTAAATTTGGTAAAAAAAGGAACCGATGTCCGCAAGTCATAACATAACATACATTGGTTAATTTACCTCTCCCCATAGGGACTTTTCAAGGCAAACACCCACCCATCCCACCCAGGGGAGGACATCCACCACACAGTAATCTCGTGCATTGGAAATTAACGTCTCCTACCCCTAACCCTGCAGGAGACGGGGCCTACGGCTTATTTGTCCTTATCCGAGAAGACTAGAAAATCTATCCATTTCTTGATTATAGAAAGGTAGCAGATTCTCCTCACTTATTTTAAGACCATGAGTATTGGTCCGGCCGGGGCACGAACCCTCGACCTCCCGCACTACACAAATCGGCGCTCTAACCAATTGAGCTAACCGGGAGGCGGTATAACGATGATTCATCAGCCAAAATGGTAACATTTACAGGACGCCTTTTGGAAACATTTTGTTAATGCACTCAACAACTTGTGGGAAAGGTCTCCACCGGCACACATAGACTCTCGCATAACTTTAGCTTGGCAGAAAGAAAAAAGCATAAAAATCGACCCGTTGTTACCCAAATGTAGAATAACTTCCCAGAGGATCACTGACACGATGAAAAACTCACACGATTAAATATATAAGTTCGAAAAATTTATTTAAGTTATCAAGAAATGCTTACGGCTATGCATGTAACAAATTTCCATGATGGATGTGTATGAAGCATTGCACTGACTTACCTTTGTACACTCACTGAGGGTTATAACTAAAATCGTGGTTAAAGTTGTTCTGAACAGCGTCATATTTTGCCTTGATAAAAAAGAAATATTGCTTCGTTTACAAAATTATTTCCTAGCTTGAAAGCGAATAAGCTAATTTTATAAATCTATTAATTACTCTGTGGTCTCAAGCAAGCCCTTCTGCACCACCCAGCCTGAGTGGACTCTTAAATGTCACGGCAGTTCATAACTCATTGATCACTTAATTGATTAGAATCATTGAGTTTGGAAATGATTATTCGCTCTACGGCGACCGTGGGTTGACACTTGAAAGGTTTAACTACTTAGATATCATCGGCTGCTTGATAAAAACATTTCTCCACATCGCTTTCATAAAGCCATGTTCGTACAAAATAGTTTGAATATATTGCCACACTTATCTGTGCGGCTGAGATAAATATCAAGGAACCAAATTTTTGCACATCTCCGCGAAATAACTTACGTTTCCTACCTGTTCAATGTTTGGAAAAGGGATCTCCGGCACCCTTTGCCGTTTTCTTAATGCTCAGCTTTTTCCAGCTTTGCTGGCGTACTACAGTAAGCAGAGAGAAAAGAAAACTCATAGATTACAGCAAATATCATCTAACTTGTAATGTGCAATTCCTATTATTTTCATATCAGTATAGCAAGTTCTTTCATTACCCAAAATTATTCAAAGTGCTATTAAAATTTTGCCATTTTGTCTCAGCCTAAGGGACAAGATCTTCCTAGCAAAAGGTAGAAAAAAAATCAGTAAATTACAATCATGATAGATTGGAGAATTTGAGTGATCATTCCTCTCTGATGATCTATATAAGTCTGTAACATTAAACGAAATGAACCATCTGGTAACACAAACAATTACCTACCGTATTTAAGCCGCCATTTAGCCTCTTTTACTAGACCTAAGTTAACTGTTACCGAGCTTTGAAAGCAGAAATCTTCTTAGGGGAACCACACGCTTAAGTGGAACATTTTGGAAATGAAACGAAGAATGGTCTCTCTCTTACCTTGTAAAATTAGATCACAGGTAGACTGCTCGGCTGACAAGCAAATCCAGCAGGCAAATTATCAGTCAACTAAAAGCGAAAACGCACAGAAGAATATTCCAAATTAGCTTTTTTGAAACGCTAATAACGTAAAGCGTGATATAGCAAAATAATTTTTAAAAATGCCAAAGTTACCCAAGGACGAAGAGAAATTTTCAGTTTTTACAAAATTATGACGAGCCGTCGGTGCATGCAAATACTGTTTTCATAAAGTCATCCACCAGGTTACGTAATTAAGTCATCTCCCTGGTATGTGTGCTGTCAACAACGCATGCGCTGGCTTCCCCTTTTGCAGGAAATTAAACCTGTTTCTCAAGCATCAAATAGGGAAAGTTTTACGTGAAAAAATCTCATTCAACGCAAAAATAAATCCAATCTTTTATCTGCGATCCATCATCCTAAAATTGAAATATCATCTCTGTTTTGGGGTCAATATTGCAAACACCTGCTTTGTTATCGATCAGGTCATCCGTTGGTTTTCACGCAAAAGTCACTTGGTCATTTAGTGTCTGATCTAGTAAAGAGAAAAAAAAACCGGTGCTCGTTGTTTTCTTGACTTTTTCAGATAAAATGGTATCAAAGAGGTGATTACCAAAAGTCACAAACTGCTTCCAATGATACAGGGCATTTAATTTAAACTCTGCTTTTCAGTTTGCTAAATATTTTCGCGCCTCAATCAAATCGAAACAGATGCGGCCGAGGGAACAGTTAAGTTATTAATGATGTGAAATACTACAGCTTCAGCGATCAATTTTTGTGGCAACGATGCTTCGACATTTTTTCTCGAATTCACAAACGGCTGGCAGGGTTGAATGGTACTTTAAAGGCTGATGATGCTCTACAAAAAAGTTAAATGAAAAGTATTTTTAAAGGACCAGAGAATCCACAAAACTTTCGGGTGATAAAACCTCAGCGACTTTTAACGTTAGTTAGTCAACTTTGTCATTGGTATCAGTCTCCTTTTCATGCGACTAAATGGTTTCTTTTCTGTTTGCAAGGTTCAAGTAGTCAGGTTAATGTCCAAAATGACCTTGAAATGGCATAATGGGCCATCTCAAAATAGAAAAGAGAACTTAGGACAGGCCACCCAAAAGCACTTGAGTCACAAGCGAGTCGCTTTGATAAAAAAAAATAAATACTAAGAACTGGTGCTGGAATCAGAAAGCTAATTGGCGAATCGAAAAGTCATTAATAATGTAATACTTGAGTGTGTAGTATCATGACCAGCGGCTAAGTAAACACAAACTGAGAAGCACATACATGAAAGACGTACATTTTGTCTGTCTCTTTTAGTAGCGTGAATTGTTTTCCAGAGATGCAGGCTCTTTGGGAATGGAGTTGTTTATGCTGGTGTTTATCCTGGCTTGTTATAACTTTCGGTCTTCCTTTTAAAAGCAATCTTACCGAATGGGTTCGGCAAGCGAACGCTACGGCACTAGGTTGCGAGGGACACATGTTGACCCTCTCATGCGCCGGACAGGAAGAAGGATTAAAGATCAACTCAGCGTTCTGGGGAAGGGACGATTTGAAAACTTGCATACCTGACAAGCCTTTGAAACAAATGAAGTTTTGTCCTCCATTGGAACCTCTTTATGCTGTGAAGAAGCTGCGTCATGTTTGCGAAGGACAGCCAACTTGTGGCTTCCCTGTGTCCGATATGTTCTTTGAGAAACCATTGTGTCCGGGCGTGTCGAAATTTCTTAAGGTTGTATATGACTGCAGAATGATGAGTGGAATGGGCGCCAAATAGCTTAAGAAGTTTTTTCCCTTCACCTTTGAACCAGAGAACGTATGAGTTGGCTTAGATGAGTACATCGTCGAAGCCGGATGTAAAGAGTATCAGTGCCCTTAAAAACTGGCAGAAGACTAAAGCCTGGTTTTTACCAGCGATACAAGCACAAGCGTAAGCAGAAACGTAAACATAAGCTTTTTATTCCAATTAAAAACGAACGCCGGCAAGCATAAGCACCAGCAAAAGAAAAAGGAAAAATTTCGATCCTTTAGCTTGTGCTTGGGCTTGTGTTTATGGTTACGTCGTGGCCGTTTTCACGATGAAATAAGAGCTGTTATGCTTGCGCTTGTGCTTGTAGTTGCATCGTCAGTGAAGTGAACCAGGCGTAAGTTTCACCTCATTTACATCGTCCGAAGATGGATGTTAGATGAAGACTTGTATGCCTGGTCTGCGCGGATATTTCGGGAAGGAAGTATAGTACTTTGTCTAGTTATTCAATAGTGGGATGGGAGACCCAAAGAGGAAAATTTGATTTCACAAACCCAAATCTTATTTCGATTACAGGTGCAAGGTGGTGCAAAGTACAATGTCACAATGTCACAATGTCTCGTGGCTTATCACTTTTTTTCGTAAAAAATAAAAGTTTTCTGTTCAGTATATATCCTAGTGGAAGTCATATGACGTTTTATCGTGGAGCTTTGTATTAGTCTGGATGTCTTAGACATATCAATGCAAACTAAATTTGTAAAATAAAAACTAAGTTTGTATATCGTGAGCCGGAGTTAAGCGTGATTCACGAACTTGTCGAGTAATCTCCCAACATCCCAAGTGCGTTATTACGCCGGTAAACTGTTAGAAAGTGTGATCTATCTATTGCTTTCATAAAATATTCATCAATTTTCAATGAGTTTACCCGTCAGTACAAGAAACGATTGGTATTTGGCCGAATAGGGCGATCGTAGTATCACAGTTACTGAAAAAAGCTAACATTGCATGGCCACATTGATGGCTATTTATCTTTTCCACGATTTGCGGCACCTCACAAACTCAGCGAAATATAACGTTTCGAACAGTCTGAGACAGCACAATTAATGTCGGAGAAGTTCGCAGCATGATTTAACGTAGAGTAAAATTCATTTTCAATGATGCACATGTTCCTCCGTAGTTTGCAAGTAACAAAATGAAAGAACGCAGTAACACTTTTACGGGTTTATTACGAATCAACTTAACGGCCTGCTCCCAGTTGGCTTGTTAGCTCAATTGGTAGAGCGCTGCACTAGTATCGCAGAAGTCAGTGGTTCGAGTCCCGTACAGGCCTGATTTTTTTCAGGTCTGATTTTCGCTACTGCATAAATAGCGCTCTCTACTGCGAGGATCGTGCATCATACGTACTTTTAATTGCCTAAGAGAGGGTTTTGTACGTCTAATGACTGTAACAACCTTGCATATGAAGGTCAGATATTCAGGCTAATTAAGGTTTAAGTTCAAGGAGATGGAACTTGTTTAGTGCTGTTTCGTCTGTAAACAATAAACTGTCGACTCGAACGTTTGATTACAGAGCACTATATTTGCCATCAGAAAAAGTATGTTGTGAGTAGATGAAACTTAAGCTGGACAAGAGTGGAATTATCTCTTTTAGCTTCGAAAGATTTAATCCAGATTAGGAACTTGTTTGATTTTCTTCTAGATAGTTTAAGAAATTTTTATGTACTTAATGAACACTTTAAACCAAAAGCCTTGATTATGTAATAACAGCTTTTCACAGTTTACAACGAAAAATCCTCCAAGGACATGTTTGAAACACTGATTAACTATACTAAAACAATGCGTAGCGCTTAGGGCGCGCTATGATTGGCAACTCAAACCCCGTATGTCCTTCACTATTCACCTTCGGGATTTGTGCCAAGAAATGTTGTGATCGTTGCCGGAATAAATGAGTGAAAATCATCCTTTTGTGCTATATTATCTCACTCTTTTAGAATATACTAAATCAACTATTCACCTCCGCTTCGGTGAATAGCAGTTATATTAACAGAAGTTTATGACCTAGACAAGGTCATAAACTTCTTTTGTTAATTATTACCTTTAATATGAGCACGTCATAAGAGCGGGGCTCGAGAGAAACTATAAATATTTCGAGATATTAGTAAATCTTAGAAGACCATAAAGCTTTAATGTCATAATCCATAAATGCTACGTCACAACGTCATGATCCAAGGACATGTAAGGTCACCTACACTATCACATTCTAAAGCACATCATGTAGTCGTCTCACTGTGTCTTGTTGTGAGTACAGTACAGTGCTTTTGGTACGATGGCCTACTGGAATGGCTGGTAATTTTTACAAGGATTTCTTTATCACGAAATAGTCAAAGCAGTTTTAGAAATATTACTATATACACATTTGAAATTATTGAAAAAGGATGTGCAATATGACGGGATAAAATGTAGCATCCTTGCTCGCTGTATAATGGATTTACACCATCTTGGCATGGAAGCTCCATTTCACCTTTACTCCATCTTAGACTAAACACTTTACACCGTCTAACATGAGCTTGTTTCTCGCTGTGAACGTTGTCCAATCCTTTCTACTTCGCAGTTAGTTTAGCGAACAGTCTTCAGAAAAACGGTTTGTACAGTCTTCTCAACAGTCTCATTTAGTTTGAATTCCTGATCCAGCGATTAACAAGCTCATAAACGCATGTTAGCTTAGTAGAAGTCCTAGATCCGGTGGACAGCACAGCCATATCAGGCGGTGGCATCGTTTGTCAGTGGCCTATCACATGATAGAGTAAATGTCAGCCAAATGCAGAATCAAATTAACCGCTTATTCTTGATCTTTGAATTGCTGCTTTGACTCTTGATTCACTGGGCAGACACTCGTATTTCACACGTAGATATTTATAGACTTGTCCACAATCGGTCTTGTCAAAGAAGGTGGAGGTCGCTGCTAGTTCACAGGCTTGCTCATCCTTACACTGCCCTTCAACTTTGGTCATTGTGTTGGATTCGTCTTGAGGACACATGGTCGAGGTGCTGAGTCCGTGTTGAACGCCGTTTGTGGTGCATGTGCCATCGTCATCACGACCCCAGAATGCAGAGCCGATTTTGATAACTTTGTACTGTGGACACTCGATCCATTCCTTCTCGCCCTCGCAGGTGATGGTTTCTTGAGGGCCCTAGAAAGAGAAAAAAAACTGGATTTTTTTTTTCGTTAGCAACAAATAAAGAGAGCTAACAGGAGTGGGGAAACATATCAGAGAAACTGTAGCAAGAAAAGGTCAGCCTTGGCGTTTTCTCGGAGTAAACAAATGAATAGTCTATATAGTTTTGCTATATTAAATTTTTTTTAATATAGCAAATATACCTTGTATGGTGCGCTTTTGGTTGTCTTCTCCACAATTTTTCCTTTTATGGTTTTAATTAACCTTAATTGTAATTAATACTAATTGTTTGTGTATTCTTGTGGAGTGAATTTGTAATAAATAAATAAATAGTCAAATATATTGCAAACGCAAGAGACAAATTTGCCCTCTAGCTCGCCAACTTTCCCTAGATGGTAGAAACAACAGAGCAAAGGCATTATTTCCCATTCAAAAGAAGCACAAATATTTTTTTCATTATTACTGGAACAGATAGAGGCAGAAAGCAAAATTTCAGTTTGTTTTCTTAGTTATGAGTCTCACTCGGCTGGACAACTCTTGCAATCATCAATCAACTAAAGCTATTGCCTATTTGATATTTTGATTTGAAAAGTAAGTTAAACAGAAAAAAACCTTAACTAAACGAGTAGAGCTTATTTTCAGTATATTTTTTTAAACAAGTAATTTTACTTGGCAATATCTAATCCTGTCTAAAACACAAGTTCATTAAGTGATTTGAACAGAAGTTAACTCACGGCAGGAGCCCCTCCGAGTCCGGGTGGACCAGGAGGCCCCGGGGGCCCTGGAGGTCCAGGAATTCCCCCGCGAGCAACAGCATCACCACTTCCACTTCCACTACCACCAAGCATATAACCAGGGGCTCCAGGGGGTCCAGGAGGCCCTGGGGGTCCCATCAAACCTCCTTGACCATTAACAAAGAAGCCTAAGGGCAATTGCTGGTCCCAATAGTAGCTCAGCGCGTCTTCGCGAGTGCGTTTCTTGAGAACATGTGGCTTCCGTTGCAGTGGAGAACATTGCTAGGTACGAAGTGAAATGTAGGATATAATCACAGTCAGCCTCTACATTGTACAAAGCTCTGCATTTGGTACTTTACCGAGCGAATTAATGCCGTCCGAAGGTCTTATTAGTGTGTTTATACCATAGATTTTTCTTAAGATGGAACACTCTATTTAAATAACTTCCATACTTGTACTAAGATTGATAAATCTCTTGTCAAGCTTTCACCTGCCATCGATGGATATCGACCAAAGTACCGATTGACATCCGAAAAACATTGTTCAGAGCTCAGCTTCGGTTACCGTAATAGAAAAACTGAGTAACTAACCGCTAATACAAATAAAGCGAGGCCCAAAGCCAGCCTAAGCAGGCCTGTAGCAGCCTTCATAGCCTAAAATCAAAGATAGAGAGTTAAGATGTTAACGCGGTGGATAAATCTCGGTTAGGTAACTCGATTGACTAACGGGTACCCGCCACACCGACCCCGGGAACGACTGACATCATAGCTCTGATTTGTTTTAATCAAGAATTCAACTGCTGTCTGTGTAGGCACCTTATTTTCTCTATAGATGTTCCCTTATCTACAAAAAAGCGACAGAGCATGAAGCATTTGAGAACAAAAGTTTTGCATCACTCGTTTCCTACAAAGTAATGAAAATGCTAAATTTTCCCAATCAACAGTTTAGTTACGCATCAACAACCTTTATGGAGTAACATGTAATTTTCCTTTTTTGTATGATGGGAGACATAACGTCTCTTCTACATTTGTGAATTTATAAAATACTTCAGAACGTGCTAATCCTAATGCTTATTGGCCAGCAGAAGTACAGAAGCACCAGCTAGAAATCTCATGAAATTTAACCGTATGCATTTGGAAAACATATATTTCTTTTATTCTCGATATTGGTTCTTTGCTTAGATCGCTTATAGTTCATGCCAGCTTTTGGAAGGAAAACTTGGGTTGACGAAACTTTAAATGAGCGACACATTAAATGAAAGAGTTTGGATGAAAAAAGTTAAATGTTTTCGCCCTCTGGGGTGGGACGTTATCCTATATAGTTCATTAAAGAAGTCTAAACTTAAAAAAAACACACATTTTGTCTAATTTAGTCACTGCACAAAACCCAGACAGAAACCTTGTCATGGACTAGGAGTAAATCGCTCAGTTAAGTAGTTGAAAACCGATCTAAGAGCTAAATAAATCAGCGGTTGGTTATGGGGCCTACCAAGATTCTGAATCGGTCAAGGATATAACTCGCTTGATCAGTTTGTAAACGAAAAAGCCAGATAAACACGCCATGGTAAACTGCATTATTATAAATGTTATTACCATAGTCTAAGGACTTTGTGTACTGGACCAAATTCAAGCTGATTTTGCTGATTTGACCGGGAAATATTGCACAATATATGGTTTGAAAGAAATATCGCTTCCTTGAGTTAAGTATGGTTGATTAAGTTTACTAAATCGTGCCCAAAATCTTAACCACTTGGCTGGCTTAAAAGTTTGAAAATTTCTTAGAGACGTGTATAGGTGTTGCAATCTTCATTAAGAATTTCACATTCATTAATTTTGAGGGGAATTGTGGCCTGAGAAAAAAACAAACGATGAATAATGAGAGTGAAAGAGAATGATTTATGGTCATGGAGAAAATTCGGGATCGTGATCTTTAATCCCCTTTGATTTAATGTCAACATCTCCATAGTAAAAGCAAAAATTTGTTTGAAAAAAATAATTATGATCTTATGTTAAGAAATCCCAAAATATAACTCAGCGTCCTAGCGAAATTTTTTTAGGGTTTTCTTTGTTTTCCTTGAGTAAAAATACTGATCCTCTTAACTCAGCAAGATCACTGACAAAAAAAATAACTAAAACTGCAGAAGTCAGAAGCGAAACGAGGCAGACCAAAGGTAGAAGTGGAAATATAAAGGTAAACACTTCTGACTTCCGGCGCTCTTTCTCTCGAGGTGTAATTTTCACTCGCTGGGTTTCCAACTTGATTTCTTTATAAGGACAGACTAACGATCCGTATCTGTCACTGGTATGAACAGAAATATCCCTGAGTTTAGAATTACTGGTCCTGTTTCCTGTTTAAATCTTTAAGTCAGTTTACTTATCTGGGCCATAAGCAAATTTACGCTGTGATCTTGAGCTACACGGTTCAATGAAAACGTTTCGGAGTTAAATATTGTAAAACGTTGCTCTCGAGTATGAAAAACCTAAAGTTTAGAAACATTTGTCATTTTGATTCAGTGGCTATTGTGTTCCTTTAAACATGTTCACAGCGAAAACAAAATTAATTTAGTCAAAATATTAAGAAAAAATCATGGACATGATTTCTTATTGCCTAATCATATTTATCAGAGCAAACAGGTAATTGAATAAACAGTCGTTGATAACGTAAAAATATAGAAAACGCGAGAGTAAGTTTATCGAATCACCGTGATTTTTATTCCATAATGCAATCCACTTAGAAACATATCATGTTTTTAATTCTTCTGAAGGCTTATTTCGAGTGACTAAACTCGTTGTAAACTTAGAAGATCAAACAAATTTTCAAGCATGATTAAACACAGAGTTTATCCACGAAAACATATGTGACTACTTTACAAAACGAAAACTTTAAGCTGTTTTACTAACGACAAAATAGACCAGAAAACGGCATCAATTGGACTCGCGGAATTGCGAAAATAGCCTGAAGATCGAGCTGTCACTATTTCTCGGTGAATTTGTAAATGTTTCGCTTGGTTGAGTACCCGGGTTTTTCATTTCTCTCTTTCAGAACACAGAAGAAGAAAATTGTGCAGCTAATCGGCTTTGTGATCAATTTAGAAAAACTCTTACCTTTCCTGAAGAATCCCAAGGCTAGAGAATCAGGGAGCAAAATTCAAAAGTAGTATAAAATTGAAACTGTTGTGCTGGTCCGATTTGATCACCGTCGCAGTCAAAGCTGTTAGGTAATGCGCCTGAACTTTTCACTTGATTACGTCATGCCTCAAAAGCGCTCTACGGGCCTTCGTCCACCTTACCCGCCAATGATACGCTCAGCGGCCTTGCGCGCCAGGCACCAGTTTTTCCAAACGGCTGGTGATTTTTGAGTGATTCAGTCACCCTTCTTGAGTCAAATAAACAGTGGCTGTTAGCTCTCAAAAAAGATGAAATTCTATTCTCTCGATAAAACGTCGAAGAGTTTTTCGAAGGGTTTTGCCCCAACACTTTGCTTGCCGAGAAAGTCACAATTGTCACGACATTGAAAAGAAATATCATATTTTTATTAAAACTCTTTGAGAGAGTCTAAGAGATCTCCTGATTTGATCTACAAATTTCTGTTGTAACCTTCTATACTTTCTTTTAACCAAAGTAAAATTACAGTGACAGTAAGTTTACCGTCTTAAAGACAACACCTCGGTAAGGAATATAGGTAGTAACTTGGCTGACAAAGAAGGAGAAAATTTGATTTGTCGGGGCCGCTTGAGCGTTATCTTAACACGCATCATAGATTCCTGTGTGTCCATAAGTATGAGCATTATTTGTAGTTTTTATAAATCCACGGATCTATAAATCAGGCAATGCTTGAAGTCGCAACTAAAAAACTGAATTTCTCCCTAAACAGTAGCTTCGACGTCTCACAAGTTATCATTCTAGATGAACGTGACAACCTTTCGGTTTTCTACTGAAATGACCGGTAAATTAAAACTTTAAGAGGTAGTAAACCATAGTTCAAGTGTGTTATATCTCACCTCATGCAACATTTCCTTCTTTCACCCGCAAGTTGGAAATATAATTTCAAAAACCAAATCTTCAGTTTGATATTTGTTCATTGATGAAAAGGGCCTCCCAGCCATTTCAACAACTTCGTGGCCTTCGCAGTTTTCTTTATGTGAACAAACGTCACGGTTTTGCAGACCCATTGAACCATGTTGACTCTGAAGCACACAATATGTCAGTTTGAGTCATTCTCGTTCGAGGTATCATATTCAAACTAACATAGTATGAAGGGTGCCTTGTTTGACTCCTGCTGATAGCAATAAAGGAACAGCAGGACGCCCTCGATGACTGTCAATAGTTCTACGGGAGATTCGTTTGTTGAATCTTTGCTCCGAATGCGCGCGAAAACTCAGTGGTTGTCACAAAAATGTCGGAAAAAAGGGACGAGTTACCTCTCGCGCTATCGTTCCTTGAACTGTAAATGTGCCGACATCGCCTCACGGACAACGCAAATTCCTAGTAAAAATTCTCAAATTTTGCAAGTTCTAAGTCTTGGCGTAGTATAAAATTCCTATAAACATCGATGAGCGATCTTTCGAAGACTCCAGATGAAATTTATCCAAATCCCCTATGATGTTCGTCATACCTGGGTCAGAATGTTTCGCACAAGCTCGATAATAATTGAAAAACAGTTATAATTTCGTAAAATTGCTGTTGTCCCACGCTCATGACTATACGAAAAAACGTACTTCTAATATTGTATTTTGATGGTACAAGTTGAGATTATCTTCGTTGCTTCTTAAAGTTGGATAATACCTTAATTTCTTGAGATTGAGATGAGAGGACATCGTTAATGTGAGTAAACTTCGATTTTTTCAAGTCATAGATCAAGGTGAAAAACCCTTCAACAAAAGTTTCATTTGTTGGCCTCACTGTTTGCTAACGACCAAGTGTGAAGAGCACTTGCTCAAAAATGGTGCCCAGACCTTTTTCCGAGTTGTCGTCTGCCATTTTGAATCGTTATGCGAACAATTATCTTTAAAAACATTCAGTCAAGTCACCTATATATGCGATAATTTAGTCCAATTATGCGATAATTTAGTCCAAGCACACCTTTGAAAGGGAAGTATTTAATTTTTCATAATTAAATAATTTAGTCCAAGCACACCTTTGAAAGCGAAGAAGGTAGGCGTACATATCTGAGTTGAAGAGTGCTCAATGTCAGAATCGATTCAAGTGAATTTTCATAGGTTCAACAAGATTAACAACTTTTTGAACCTGCGGACTCCTGTTCCGTAGCCATGGTGACAAGCCATTTGAGAGAGGTCAGCAATAAGTTCGCCGTTAGACTTTAAATAAAGTTCATCTTTAGTGGCCATCACCGAAAAAAATCTGTCATCCGGACGGTCACGAAACAGAGGCTTGTGCATCCGGATTTTTACATGGATCGACCAGATTGCAAAATTGGTCAATTTGAAATGTAATGAAGCCAAGTGCTGCAATGCGACGAGATGATCTCTGGGTAAGACAACCACTTATCATATACAGTTTTCACTTAGTATGTCTAAATATATGCAAAATTGGACGACCTCCACCATATTCTCCCCTCTACTAACTATGCCTCCACTGACCTACGACTGATTCGTGTGAAATTGAATTCACAGCTGTTCAAAGGTCTCTTTTTCCTTCCTTCTGCTTATCGATTCATATCGCTCAATCGCCAGGAAATAATAAAACAAAAGTGGTTTGACGTTGAAAACGTGCAGTTCTTTGCTCAAATTTGAGCAGAAGTGGCACTGTGGATCGTGACTAAATCCTTTTTGCCCTTCATTGTTCTGTCAAGATTTTTTTCTTTCTTTTTTTTTTCAGAGCTATGACGCACTGAATGATTTGCTTTTACTTTGTATTTCTTGAATAAAAATCTTTTTGAATGGAGCAATCACTTCGGGAAACGCATGGGACTTTGAATAAGAAAGCATTGGACAACGGAAACGTCGTTTATTGACAAACTTGAACTTCATAACGCTGAAGTAGAACTTCATTGACATCCATCAGTCACCAAATGATAGCAATCATGATCGAGTTACTGTTCTAAGACTACATTAGGCGCGTGTACACCTGTAAACCATTCCATTACCAGTTTATTTACATATAAGAGTGAAGATTACATCATAAATCGCACTATATCATACACAAACGATTTGAACAGCTACCGATCGTTGCTTCTTGGTCAGTCTGGCCAATTCGGGAGGTTTGTCAGTGCTGGAAACCTTGGTCAGTCTGTGCCCTCACGGCACAAAAGGTAATTTATTAGAACAAAAAAAAACCTGTTGACAACAAAAACTGAAGACCCTACTTCACTAATGCAGTCACACTAATTCGTCAAATTTCATAACGAGTCGAGCCGAGTAAATATCGATCGATTCTACAAAGATGATTTAATCATGTCATGTACAGAAAGAAAACTACCTTAAATCGATATAACTCATGGTTCACTAGTACAAGAGCCATGTATGTCGTCTTCTTTCGCCGAAGAATTAGAAATTCGAGGCCTTCGCCCTTTTTAGTTGATACGATTTATTCGTTTTTTTTCCTCAGGCAAGCCCGTTTTTACAAATACAACTCTTTCCAGCAAAGTGAAATGATACAGCCGAGAGCGAAGCAAAGTAACGTTCTATAGAAAGTTTGTTCGTTTGTTCGCTCAACCCATGAAATTGGCGTTGAGTAAGTTATCTTCGTTCACAACCTCATGACCGTTAATAACTTCGATGCATTTGTAGTAGACTTCCAAGTATTTGTATACGTCCTGGCAAGATTGATCGTTGAAGAAGAACTTTGTGCATCTTATCTCGCACATGGTCGTTCCCTCGCAGGCGTCCTTAACTTTTGTCAGAAAGAGCGGCGTCGTCGGGCAGTATTTGTTAAACTGTAGGTTTCCTGTGTGTTCCGTGCACAGGCCAAAGTTTCGTCTTCCCCAGAAAGCGGAGATAATGCTTATGTGTTTGTACTCATTACATCGCAGCCAAGCTGTGTCCTCTTCGCATTTCACCGTCCCATTCTGAATCAGATTCACAAAAAGCGATCAGATTTAAACTTGTCTAAAAAATATATACATAATACAATTGAACATGGGACAAAAATGGACAAAAACACATTTTCTGAATGGCGCTATTCGAAGGGTAAATCATTTGAAAGCCTTCTGAGGCGTTTTTATGGTCAGACATATACAAATTACAGTTAGACTGAGAAATTTATAGATAGGAATAAAAGGTACTCAAAACCAGTATACTTACGTATCTAATTGGTGTAGGGCCTGGCGAACCAGGAGGTCCTGGAGGTCCTTGCATACCGGGGACACCGGGCATTCCACTGCCTCCGGGGAATCCTGGAGGACCGGGGAAACCAGGGGAACCGGGAGCTCCATCCATACCTGGAGGTCCCTGAAAACCAGGTGCTCCTGGAAGACCGGGAGTACCGGGGAAACCAGGGGGACCAGGGTCTCCTTTAAAACCCGGTGGACCTGGTTGACCAGGCTGACCGGACATTCCAGCCATACCATTGGCACCGGGAGGACCTTGCAATCCTTTGAGAATGAAACCCAGTGTTACATTCTGATCCTTGAGAAGTTTGTTAAGAAGAGGAGGGACTGGGGACACGGGCAGTGACGCCTGGAGAAGAAACAATGGTTGATGTATTAGAGTAAGCATAATAGATTTTTTTTTCGGACAGACTGTTATACAACGTGTCAAAAAGTATATTCAGTCAGTACTGCTACACAAACAGACCGCTGGACGGATAAACTTTGTTAAAGTAAAACGTACACTAACGAAGTTTCGTTCATCGATACCATCATTAATAAACAGTTGAAATCATAGCAAGGTAAATTCAGTACATGGAATTTGCTTTAACTTCCATTAAATTAGTTTTATATTAACCATTCAAGTTATCTAAACGGCACAATCCATAAACAACGCAATGAAAGTAACAAGTAGGTCCTAAGAAGCGTTTTGATGACAATTAAAGTTACAACTACAGACACACAGATCTGAAGTTCATGGCTATCACAAGTACAAGCACCGAAAAGTGAATGACTGCAATCAAAACCACCGACTTTGATATCACACGCCACCATGAAGGTAACCTTATTTTATCACATAACTACAGTTACTCTCGTGTTCATCTCAAAGTTGTTACCGATTTGTCTGTCGTCACGTATAATGACGCCAAAGTAATTGCCACAGCAGCAAAC